CTCAGTGGCTAAGATGCTGGGCTGGTCATCTGGAAAGCCAACAGCCAAGGTTCAAGACCTGAGCATCATGCGAGGGGGGTAAGTTCCCATCTTAGCTCCACTCCTGCCAACCAAGCAGTTTGAAAGCATGCAAACGCAAGTAGGTATCACTTCACTGGGAAGGGAACAGCGCTTCAGGTTGTCATGCTGGGCATAGGTATAACTTTGGAGGGCACTGGCTCAATGGCCAGTTTGAGACCCGAGCATCATGCGATGGACTGAGTTCCCGTCTTAGCTCCAGTTCCTTCCAACCTAGCAGTTTGAAAGCATGCAAATGCAAGTAGATAAACAGGTACCACTTCACTGGGAAGCTAAGAGCACTCTATGATGTCATGCTGGCCACAGAAGTATCTTTGGACAGCACTGGCTCAGTGACCTTGAAACAGAGAGCAGAACCTTGCTCTTTAGCTGAAAAGTAGTGGAGTAAAATCTGCAGGGATTCTGTCCTAATAGGAGCCACGAGATCCAAGCCAAGCACTGGCTTGTGGTGTTGTAACCATGGACTGCAACCCATGTTTCTGTCTTGTCTGCTAAGCAGCCTTGAATAAGGCAGAAACCGAGATGTCTAGGCACATCGGTAATTTTTTTCCAAGAGAGAGAAAAAACACCCTCCAGGTTCTGCAGGTTATTATGAATTTAACTGTTGGAGTCTCTATGCTTATTATATTATTTAAACTTTTGCTTCAAAGCAGTAACCTAGATAACTTTGATCTGGTTTCAAGACACAATGAGGGTGACAGGTTATAATATTTCCTTAGGGGGGAAAAAAACTAAAAAAGATTCAGTTGACTTTGCATTTGGGCTTTCTTTTGACAGACACTTGGAGAGTGGCACAGAATACACAATCGTGATTTTTAGCATGTTAAGAACACAGGCCAGAAAGCAAATAGCAGGAAGACACGGCTTAAAAAAAAAAACTGAACGAAAATGACATAAGAAAAATAGCATATATATATTTTATGTATAAAAATCTACAATACTTAATAATCTCCATACATATCTTCGCAGCTGCCACCGTTCTGCTGCTAGCATCCAGTAAATTGTACAGCTTAAATTTCATTGTCATTATTACAAATCACAAAGCCAAAGTTTAAACTTTGAGATTATGACATAATCACACGGTTATTATATACATATACTTCTAGACTGCAGGAAATGAAACTTGAAAAGTAAAAGACAAAAGTATTATTTGCCAGTTTAGAACAGGGTTAGGACACAGGTGGTCCTGAAGGTATGGAGTATTAAGTCCCATCACTCCTTCCCCCTTTGGCTACAGTGGTTAGAGCTGATGGGACCTGGAGTCCAATACCCTTTGGAGGAACACAGGTCACCTCTTCCTTTAAAAACCTTTGCTAGAATGCAAAGCTGCATGCAATGGGTTTTTAAAAAAAGGAAATATAAAAAGGTGAATTGTCAAAGAAATTTTAAAGATTGCAACTGGTGTCCATCATGTAAGCTAAATGTTATTTTGTCTTTTATATATCGTAAAAGAAAGACCACACTAACACAATTAATGCCATTCTGCAGCAAATGCAGGCACTAAAGCAGAGCTTTGTTTAAGGCAGGTCTGTCCAGCTCATAACTCAGAAAGCTCAGATAGACCACAGACCAGGTTTGGTGGTTACAGTGTGGAAGGGATCGACAAACCTGTGGGTGGGGTTGCCTGTGGGTGTGCAAAATTCAGGCTCAGTGTGGTGGGTCACACATTTTACAAACACAGTGTAGTGTAGAGGGAGAACAATGCAGTTTGACCATGTTTGCCGTATTGTGCAGTCAAGACAAAATCTCAGCATTTCAACATTGCTTTGCTCAGCATTTTTATCCTCGAGTGGGCCGGTGTACAACCTAGGAGACACATACACACTGCATTTTAGTGGACCTTGCAATCCTGCTGTGAAGAGTTGGAAGACCCAAAATGATATCTTTGTCTATTTCCTAGGGTTAATGTTGGATCTTTCCAGGGGCCTCCTGTTCTTTGTGGTTATGTCACTGCAAATTTTAAGGAAAAAGGAAAATATAATGGTCAGGATGGACTGAGGCAGGGGTCTCCAACCTTAGCAACTTTAAGACTTGTGGACTTCAACTCCCAGAATTCCTCTGCCAGCAAAGCTGCTGAAGTCCACAAATGTTAAAGTTGCCAAGGTTGGAGACCTCTGGACTAAGGCATTGTTGAGTAAACCACAGTGATGGAGTTTGCATATTGGATTGAGCTGCAAACTCTTGTCCTCCTGAAGCACAGAAGAGGTGAGGTTCAGAGAAACACAGAATCAAAAAACTTATGAGCTGTTATGGATGGTCTTTGGCGACTTTAAGACTTGTGGACTTCAATTCCAAAGAATTCCTCAGCCAGACAGCCATGCAATCTGGGGAATTCTGGGAGTTGGAAGTACACAATTTTTTAAAATTGGCTAGTTTGGAGACAACCTGTTATATTATGGTTGTGCCAAGTTTGGAGACCCCTGAGCTATATTATGGTTGCGAACCCAAGAAGGGGAGCTACGAAGAAGAGAATGTGAATCTCCAAGGAAACACAGATGTAGCTACTTGGTCAGCTGAAAAGGCATGACTTCACCTGGGGCAACCTTCTTAAGAACATCAACCCTATAGTGGCTTCAAGGTCATGCATTTCCCCATCCATGTCTTTGTCACACTACTCAAGTCCTTCACAAATAAACTAAACAGCTGCTGAGCTAACAAGGGCACCTGGAGCCTTCAGACCATCATCTCTGGGACCACTGTGTGACAACCTAAAGTGGCTGCTCGTCCCCATTTCCCAAAACCAGTGGGATTAAGATCTTTACCACTTTTTTCCTGAGCAGCTTATTCCAGCTCTTTTTGCTCTACATGATCTATGTGTGTATATATATATAAAAAAGCAAATTCCAAAGATGCAGTAAATTTTCTGGCTTCCCACCAAGGAGGAAGGAGCACTTCAGAGCTAGACTTTATACCTATAATCATCTTTTAAGGGCTTAACGCTATAGCAGCCCTAGTCCAATCAAGAGCATAAAAGTCTATGGCTCTCGAGAAGGACAAGATGTTCAAGCTTGTTACGGGAACGGACAAGGATGCTCAAGGAGAGCGAGCAACGGGCAAAATTACAAAACAAGAGACGAGAAACAGCTCTTCGCTTTGAGAACACAACAAACTCCTGTCAGGCTAGGAGGCTGCGATCCTTGGTGCTCATCAAACCAAGGCACCCACAAGGTCACATCGTTGACCACGGAAGAACAGGCTGCAGAGAACACCTTGGATCGCGGAGGACACCGATCAGCTTAGGCAACATCCACTCGCCAAGTTGAGCTCAACCAATCGGCGGTTTTGCTCGTTTTTTTAAGGACAGTCAAGGTTTTGGTGGGTACAAAATTGTAATTAACAGCCTGGACTACAGCGTACGCCTCCGGTTTTCTTGTTTTTGAATGTTCTAGAGCAGGGGTCTCCAAACTTGGCAACATTTAAGACTCGTGGACTTCAACTCCCAGAATTCTCCAGCGGGCCATGAGGAATTCTGGGATCTGAAGTCCACAAGTTTTAAAGTAAGAGATATCCGGTTTGGGACGAACTTGTCCCTGTGTCACCAAATCCACCCTGAAGGCCCATTTAAAGTCAGCCCCACCTCCCAGACAATACTGCTAGCACATGGGACAGAAAAAAGTAAAAGCGGCCTTGCTATCATGTTTAATTGCTTGCAGGAATAAAGAAAGCATTTAAAGGGATCAGATCTCTTTAGGTTTTTTGATGTGAGATTACTGTTTCAGCAGGGCTTAAAAAACCTGTCCTTAAAATCTTTTCCCCATCTTTCTAGGGTAGAAAAGCAGAGGTTTGCTCTTTTGCATGCTTCCTATGCAGCAAGTTGTGCAGGTTGTTTTAACAGGAGGCGCCCGGCCTCTTGTGAGTGTGCAGAACAGATTCGCATGCCCCAGGGTGGGCTTGCAGCTTCATCGATTTAAGGGCATTTGCACGGCATCCAAGCCACAGAGATACTATGTGCTCAACAAGGCTACCCAAATGAGGGATAACAGGTTGGGTTTGAACCAGCGGAGCGAGTGCTCGGTATTGGTGAACCCCAAGGCAGGTGTGAAATCTCACAAGGCAGGAACGGGCCAGACCCATGCAAAACCAGACTGGGCTTCATCTCTTCCAAAGTGTATTAACCCTCTACACCGGAGTTCCCCAATCTTTCCGGCTTTGTGGACCAGGAATTTGGGGGGGGGGGGGGGGGTGGTTCCATGTGAATGGGCGGGCAAGGGGGCACGCCCAGCTCCATTTACACAAGCAGTAGGCACACGAACCGGCTGCTCGTACAAATGGAGCGTGTCCATTCACACATGGCTTCTGTGGCCCAGCTGCGAACTGCTCGTGGGCCAATAGCGGGCTAGGGCCCAGGGGTTATACGCTACAAATGCGTAAGTTGCATTTGGTGGACTTCTAAACCTCCCTCCCCAGAACTCACCTGAGTCTCAAAATGACAGCTACTACAGTGCATAGCCGGCTTTGGAGGTGCGAAGTGCGAAGGAGTCAGTCAAACAGCCGAACATCTGTCAGTGTGCTACAATTCACATACAGTCCTGGTTACAGAAGCACCGTTTTATTGGCTATGTCAGAATGCCCCTGATATGGACACAGGGGTCTTCTTCTAGCTAGCCATAGGCCACCGCATCCCTCCCTAGAGACGGTCTTCCGAAGACCCCGGAATTTTTTTTTTTTTCTCTTCTGCAGCTACTGCGGCAGTGTGTTAAAAAAAAAAAAAAACCAAGACGTCCCACCCGTACCCCACCCCAAATCCCTTTCTAAATAACGGATGGTTTATAAATTAAGCAAACAAAAAACTTTTTTAAAAAAAAAGTTAAATAGAAAGTACTTTGCAGGCGCGGTCCCCAGACATCCACATCTCCCGTTTTTTTAGACTCTGCACCTGCCCCCCCCGCCAAGGGTCTCCTGGGTCCTAATGTCAGAAGCAGCTGGCTGAGTGGGGCTTTGCAAATTTTAGGCCATTGGGTCGTTTCCCTAAAGAAGCGACTGAGCCAAACAACTGCCACAGGGAAGATACTGCTACATTTATGAGATCCGTTTTGCTCTGCTCCTTTCTCAGGGTCGCCTTTCGCCAAACTTAGAACACGTGGTTGAAAGTAGTGTCATCCTTTTCTGCATCACAGTTTGAACGGTCCTGTGCGAAGAATACTAATCTTAGATCACTCTCCACCCAAAGCCTGTTCTTTTCCTGGCCTTTGAGGGGGAGTGGAAGTGAATTTATTTATTATTTGCCTTTCCTTTTTCAAAGCAGCACTGATTCGTTCCTAGACAAGCCATCTGCTTGGTGCCTGTAATGGTGGTCGGGGCCAGGGGAATTCAGATACTGGTAGAAGGGCGGCCCAAGTTCCCCCGAGGCTGTCCTGTATCTCAGAGGCCTGTCCATGGAAAGGGTGGGAAGATTGGGGTCTTCCAGAGGCTTAGCCTGAAACACTGGATGTCTCTTCAAGTCACCAAAGTGACTTCGGCCACCGTCTCCACCCCAGGATTGTCCGTAGGCTCCTGGCCGGTACACGAAAGGAGGATCCGGCCATTTGTTATGATCCGGCAGATAATCTACTGGAGGAATCGCAGGACGGAGGCCTCTGGGACTGCTTGGGAAGACCTCATCTGGGAGAACCTCTAGCCGACTGGAAGGCGTCACAACGAGATTCTGGTGAAGGGCAGAGTAATTTCTAGGCGGCTTCTCAGAGAGCACCTGATGAGTTTCCATCTCTGGTGGGAAATCAGGAATATACAACTGAGTGGCGGAGCTGGTCCGAGTCCCGTGATTATACTGTGTGGCTGCGGAGTTGCCTACTTTGGTCACATGCTTTGGAGAATACCCTTGGTAAACAGGTGGATTATTGTAGGATGGGGGTGGCTGTCTCATATGAGGTCCAACCACTGATCCGTCAGATTGGGAGGAGTATCTGGGGACCCTGGGTTGAGAGCTGAAGGCATAACTGTTGGATATTTTGGGTGGACTAGATCCTTTCTCGATCTCTTTTCGGGAACCGCTGGAGAAAGCTGTGCTCCTTGGACTTGGCACAACCACTCTTTCCGGGACGTGCTCCATCAAGTTTCCGTTCTCCAGATCAGCTTCGGGAACGTTGTCGTACTGCGAGGCATTCGACCCACGCTTCCTTTCATCCACATCCCAAACCCTCACTTTTTGCTTGAGGTTGAAGAGCTGAGCTTCGTCCTCCGGGGCAGGGCCTGTTCCTGTCCAGCCCTGCTTTGGGGACCTAGCCTTAAATTCCATGGTGATTTTTGTTGTTTTTTCAATTATCTTAACATCGGAAGGTTTAATCCACCTGGGTACAAACTCTTTCCCTGTAGTTAATACTGCGTTGGAGTTTTGGTTCGCAGTCGCATTGTGTTTCTGCTTGGGGTCAGCCTCTGCCTGTGCTTCGGGCTTCCTTCTGGGGTTCTCCCCATCATGTTTTGGCAACGCACTTTGTGTGTTTAGTGTTACTGGCTTTTGCTGATGTCTCAAAGTAGGCCTCTTTTCCAGGGAATTTTTTCGTCTTTGGCGGTTTGGCGAGCTTTCTCGGCCTCTCTCTGCTCGTGGTGTGGGTGAGCCTTCCCGGTCTCCCTTTGTCCATGCTGTGGGTGAGCTTTCTTGGCCTCCTTCTCCGTATCTCTTTGGTGAGCTTTCTCGACATCCTTCTCCACTCCTCTGGCTTGTCCGGGCCTCCTTCGGTACACTGTTGTTTTTTTGTCCATTGACGAGATGGGTGAGATTCAGCATGGCTGGTTGACTGTCAGCTGGAATTTTCCCCAACTTCTTTGGAAATTCGTCCTCTTTACCTAGAAGACAAATAAAAGGAGCAATCAATATGTCTGCCAGTTAAATTGCTGTTATTTATTAGCTTTATAAGGTCTCCCCAATCAAAGGCTCAAAGCAGCTCGTAATTAAAAACTCAACAAATAAGAAAATTCTCACCGTGATCTCATAGATAGATTGACCTGTTTTTGTTATTATTATTTTTTTTACATAATGCATTATAGGCTGTGAAATAGATAAAAAGAAAGGAACAATGCTGGAAGGTTTAAAGATAAACCCAACCCTTGGAGGTTAGAAGTTACTGCCAATTTTACGCTCAAATGCAAACCACTCTCCCTGGATGGTAACAACTGCAGGCAGTATGTCTGATTATAAAAAGAAATCTCATTCAAGCTAGCAAGGATTTTCTGGAAAATGTAATCCAACCTTGTATGATCCAAACTATACCGACTGGATACCTTCTTTTAAGTGGACAAGTCTGGCTTCCCGGAAACCACAGCAAGTCAAAGTCTTAATTTAAAAAACAAACAAAAAACTGCTGAACCCCATTTCTGAAAATTTGGCATATTCAGCAATTACTTGGGAGTAAAGGAAGGGAGAATTTTTGTCTGCTGTGAATTTTATAGATGTGCATCTTCTAACAGCCACAGGGTTGAAACAGAATACTGGATGAACTGAATGATATTATATTTACGGGGAAATCATGACCAATTTCAAATCGCTGGCTCTCCAAGAGTAGAATGCACAATCAACTATTCTCCCCCCCTCCAAAAAAAACCCCAAAAAAGAAACTGGAAGAGGAGAGGGACTTAATCATTATGCTTTCTCAGAATTGAGTGTGACCAAGCCTTTCAGCTGCTAAAAAAATAACCACCATCTGCAGCCACAGCCCTTTCTCTGATTTCTAGCAGGACAGCAGCCCCTCCTCTCAAAATCTTGGCTGCCATACCCTACAAGACCCTTCTGAAGTTACCACCAAATTGTAATTTTCAATATAACGCGAGGGTAAATTATTAAAGACACGATCATTTTACATTATTAAAGCCATCGCATTAGAAGCGTTTCATTTTAAATAGATGGAAACAGAATGAAATAGGAGTTCGGTTTTTTTATATTGATCCTGCATTGGGAAGGATGGACCCCGTCATGCCTGTTCAAGACCTAGTAGAGCTGTTCAACTGGAAAAAGGTTGGGGATCTCTGCTCTGGAATTATTCAGCAGGGATCTCCTGTCGTCAGAGGGAACAAAATAGGATATTCTTTATTGGCCAAGTGTGTTTGCACACACAGGCAATTTGTTTCTGGTGCAGAAACGTACGTATAAACAACAAAGTAATATAATCGCAAGATGCCAATAGGAGAAGGGAGTAGGAAAAATGAGAAGGATAATCATAATAAAGCCCTAGTACATGGGTAACTATTCTTACACATAAGACAATACTGAGAGAATTAGGTATTTAGCAGAGTGATGGCACAAGGGGGGGGGGGGGGAGAACTGTCTTTGTGTCTAGTTGTTTTGGCATGCAATGTTCCCCCATGGCGGCATCCTGAGGGGAGAAGCCGAAACAGTTTATGTCCAGGATGTGAGGGGTCTGCAGATATTTTCACAGCCTTTTTTCTGGTTCATGCGGTATAGAGGTCCCCAATGGAAAGCAGGCTGGCTGTGATTGGTTTTTTCTGCAGTCCTAACTATGTGCATATGTGTAGTCCTAACTAGATGTGGATGCTTTATGTCAGAGAGGTCCAACTTTAGTGACTTTAAGGCTTGTAGACTTCAAGCCCCAGAATTCCCCAGCCAGTTATGCCCAGTTGACTGGGGAATTCTGGGAGTTGAGGTCCACCAATCTTAAACGTTGCCAAGGTTGGACACCCCTGCACTCTGCTTAAGCTTGCAGTAACTTTTGCAAAACACGAAGCTGAATTCTCTGGTAAGACACGGTCACGTGAAACAGCAGCCTGGCAATTTGCCGGCAAAAGCATTCCTGCTGCAAATAATTTCGCTGAAGCTTCCATTTCAAGCTATTCTCTGGGCCACCTGTGGATTATACAGAAAACCGGATTTTCGTCCGCACTCTGTCAGGTTGCAGATCAGTCGCCTCAAGCACCTTAATTTTGCAGGTGGCAGATTTCCCTGTATAGTCCAGCAACAAAAACTGACAGGCTTCTGTCCTTTGTAGCGAGACAGTAGCTCATCTGGACTAGCTTCGGGAAAGAGTTCTCCCTTTTGCCCTGGTGAATTAGGGATGAGAAAACAACTGATAGGAGAACATTTCTGTTCTGACCCAAGCCTCGCTCAAATCAAACCAACACAAAGTACATATAAAAGCAAACCTTTTTAATGCATCTCTGTGAATTCTGTTCATTCACAGCAAAGAGTCATTAAAACTAATTGTCCCAGATAAGAGCAAGCTCTGGTTGTGAAAGGCTGCCAAGAACACAAGAATAATTGCAGAGAAATATCCAAAGCCAAAAGTCTCCAAAAACAAACTAGAATAGACAGGACTTCCACAAGAATTTTGAGTTCAAAGAACTTCTTTGCTTCCTGCAAAGAACCCAACCCCGACGGCTGGCTTTTATTCCTTATGGGAGGGGCCATCACCTTGCAGCCTTACTCCCGAGTCGCCCGTGCTGCTGCAGCTGCTCTTTCCTTCTAGCAGCCCTGCGCACATGTGCACTGGGCACAGGCTCCTCGGGGTCCTCTGCATCACTGCTGCCAGACTCCACAAGCTTCAAAGGCAGCACCCCACTCTCTGATAGTCCTGGTTCCATCCCTGCATCACATGCAGGCCCTTCACCCGAGTCCTCGCTCTCCGAGACTTCAGCCATTTGCACCTGCTGCCGGTGAACCAGAACAATTTCAACGGAATACATAAAGGAAGGGCACACAAAACAAAAACCCAAACAAAAACAACTCTAAACTGACTGTCAAGTAGTTAGCTAGCTTTGCAGATTTTACATGGTGTCACAGTGGTTAGAATGCAATATTGCAAGCGAACCTAATCTGCCCGCTGCCAGGAGTTCGATCCTGACCGGCTCAAGGTGAACTCAGATTTTCATCCTTCCCAGGTGGGTAAAATGAGGACCCAGATTGTTGGGGGCAATAGGCTGACTCTGTAAACTACTGAGAGAGGGCTGTAAAAGCACTGTGAAGCGGTATATAAGTCTGAATGCTATTGCTATATGGAGGCAAAAGATTTGTAGAATCAGCGTAAGCTGTGTTTAAACAAACAAAACAAGGAGACCTAAAGGAGGACGCATGGGGGTGAATGATTGGTTTATGGAAGCTGCAGTCAGAAAGATGGATGAAACTCATGGAGAATACGGCATCATTAGCTCCAAGGTTATAAAGACCCTCAGCTTGGAGGCATCTCGCCATCAAATGCAAGCTCCTAAGACCACAACACATCTATCACCTTCAGACATCTAGTAAGGTGACAAGCTTCCCTGTATGCAATCAGTCCTTTGACCCAACGAGCTCAGTGCTTGATCACTGAAGAGATCAGAGGTTTTAAACCTTTTGCAAATGGCCTGAACACACTCTGCTTGTCTATATCAGTGGTGGCGGACCATTTGGGTTTGGCGTGTCAAAAATTCAGAAAATGCCTACCTTGACTGTTCTGATGAGTCTCTCTCTCTCTCTCTCTCTCTCTCTCTCTCTCTCTCTCTCACACACACACACACACACACACACACACACACAGAGTCTCACAGACACAAAAGAGGCCTCTCCTCTTCTCGGAACCCTCTGTAAATCAGGATCCAAGGCCTCTACCACCTCAGAAAATCATGTGAGAACACTTGCACAATTTTTGGACACCTCAGAAGCTGTGCGAGAGCAAAGTCCTCTTGCACAACTTCCATACGATCCAAAGCCTGATGCGTCAACAGTTGGCAGGGGGTATCACCTATGTGACACGCACAAGCCAGGTTCCCCATCACTGCTCTCTATATGTTTATTAGGGAGCCCACAGGAGTATTTTAAAACACGTTCTGTGCCTCTCATGCTCGCAACCCAAAAACACCCGTTACCCTTCGTGCCTATTTCTATCCAGGTATCTACATTTTTGAGGTTTCAATAGCATCAAGAACACCTCATCATATAGTCACTCTGATTCGTCCCCTTTTTAAAATTTTGAGTCAGTGCATACTTTCCCAAGAAAAAAAAACACTGAAATGTTCCTAGGTTGATTGATAAGGCAACTTTTATTTTATTTTTAATTTAGCACGCTTAAGATCCCTTAATTACCATTAAGCTTTCATGCCATCCAAGGGAAAAACAACATTTTTACTGAATCCCTTCTTGCTTTGAAGATTGTTTTCTGTAACATCTCTCCCTCACATGCCAGAGCGAGGGAAAGGGCATTCGTTCTGGTGTGCATGATTCAAAGCTGTTTAGATGTTGGAAGCGCAACACCTGAATTTTGAGCAAATGGGAAGGGCAGGCAAGATCGAAGCTAGAATAACCTTGAACCAGGCTGCCAGCTCTCCAATTAAGAAGCGGGTGTTACAATTGAAGTATTAACCATGTATTAACAGCCAAAATCACAACTGTTGCCTGGGAAGATCAAAGCCTCTGCACACAGCAGGGCTTGTGATTTTTTTTATTAGATGTTCAAAATAATTGGACAGATATTGCACAGCCCACAAAGGCAGACTCAGGGAAGGGCTCCACACACAAAAACACGGTTTAAGATTCTCAGGGAATCTGCTTGTTGGGGGTCCCATTGATTAATGATTGTCATCTGGTGGTCCCACAAAAAAGGTAGCCTTCTCGGTGGTGGTGGTGGTGGCTCCTTATGGAATATCATTCCCCTCAAGGTACAGTTGGCCCCCACCCAGCTGTTTTTCCGGAAGGCCCTAGAAAGTGCCTTTGTCAGCTGGCCCGGAAAATCACAAAATGGAGAGAGAGAGAGAGAGACAACTAAGTGGCTGTTTTGATTGTTTTGTTGATGCCATGGGGATTTTCATGATATGGTGGGTTTTAAAAAAAATTGCAAGCTGTCCGACAACATCAATGTGTCTGT